AGGCTATGCGGGCTAGAGTTCACTCACCCACGAGGACCACCAGGGACCACCGCCACCCCGCCTCCCAGTCCCAGCGTGCCGGACCCCCCCTCCCAGGCTAAAGGTAAGAAGGGAGGGGGGGACATAATGCCTGTTTTAATTTTTTTATTTACCCCCCCTACACACACACAATAACATTTATACAGCACTCTCACACCCATCACACACAGCACTCTCACACACATTACACACACGACTCTCTCACACAGCACTCTCACACACAGCACTCTCACACCCATCACACACAGAACTCTCACACACAGCACTCTCACACCCATCACACACAGCACTCTCACACACAGCACTCTCACACCCATCCGCACACAGCACTCTCACACACAGCACTCTCCACCCATGTCCACACACAGCTTGCCTCTCACACACAGCACTCACACAGCAGCACTCTCACACCATCACACACACAACACTCTCACACCACATCACACACACAGCACTCTCACACAGCACTTGCTCTCTCACACGGCACTCTCACACCCATCACACACAGCACGCTCTCACACAGCACTCTCTCACCCATCACACACAGCACTTTCACACACACAGCACTCTCACAGAGCACTCACACACACACAGCACTCTCACACCCATCACACACAGCACTCTCTCACAGCACTCTCACAGAGCACTCTCACACACACACAGCACTCTCACAGAGCACTCTCTCACACAGCACTCTCACACCATCACACACAGCACTTTCACACACACAGCACTCTCTCACAGCACTCTCACACCCATCACACTCACAGCACTCTCACAGAGCACTCTCTCACACACCTCTCACACAGCACTCTCACACAGCACTCTCACACACGGCACTCTCACACCCATCACTCACACACGGCACTCTCACACACATCACACACACCGCACCCCTCACACACACACCGCACCCTTACACACACACATACTGCACCCCTCACATACACACAGAACCCCCCCAACACACTGCACCACACACATACACAATACTTCCAAATATACACACACACACACACTACACTCTTAAAGGACCACTCTAGCCACCCAGACCACTTCAGCTTAATGAAGTGGTCTTGGTGCCAGGTCCTTCTAGGGTTAACCCATTGTTTTATAAACATAGCAGTTTCAGTTTTCAATGGGTTAAGCCTTCCCCCAAAGCCTCTAGCAGCTGTCTCATTGACAGCCGCTAGAGGCGCTTGCGTGCTTTTCACTGTGAAAATCACAGTGAGAGCACGCAAGCGTCCATAGGAAAGCATTATAAATGCTTTCCTATGCGACCGGCTGAATGCGCGCGCAGCTCTTGCCGCGCGTGCGCATTCAGCCGACGGGGCGGATCGGAGGAGGAGAGCTCCCCGCCCGGCGCTGGAAAAAGGTAAGTTTTAACCCCTTTCCAGAGCCGGGCGGGAGGGGGTCCCTGAGCCACATATGCATCACATTACACCACAAACACAACACGACTAAAACCGACCTTATTACACAATACCACACCACGACCAGCTCACTCTACACACACGCAATACCACAAGCAGGCTCCAAACACATGCACAATACTCTTTCCTGGCCTTTTGTCTCCTGGTATCCATTTATAGAGACACCAGAGACAAGTTGCAAGGAAACACAGTGCAAGCATGTTATTAAATTTGCTTGCACTGTGCAGAACAAATACAGGACTTTTTTCTCATGCTAGAGCTCTTCAGCAGAGCTCTGCGCATGGTCTGCCCTGGAAGAGCATTGAACCAACATGCTCACTTTGAGAGGAGGCGTGTTTGTCATTGGTGATGACAAAACACACCTTCTCTGCCCTGCCCCCTTTTTAGTGGGCCGCTGTGTTAAAAAAATGCCCGGGCCGAATTTTTCTCCCAGTCCGGCCCTGTATAGTTCTATAATATACAATTACATAAAACAAACAATAATGCAAGCCTACATCTGTAATCAGGTCAAAGGTAACATTTTTGTTTAATTTAGATTTTAAAGCAGGTTATTATTTGTTGCATTGTTTCTGGACACATGCCCCCATATACATGTATATTTTATTTGTGACAATTGTATCTGTGATATTTTCATTTCTGATATAAAGGTAATTAGCCAATAAGCAAACCCCTTCTAATGCAATTTGCTAAGTTTACATTTTGCTTTATATTTCTTATTAATATTTTTCGTATACAATTATTGTCTCATGCACAGAATATTAAAATATCCAAATATAATGCTGCTGCTAATAATAATAAATAGTTAATAATAATAATGATATCTGCCAATTAAATACAGTGGTGGAAAAAGCCAAGTAACTTCTGCAAAACAGAAAAAAATAAGTCATTTTTAAGGTCCACTTTTTACTATGACTTATAATACAGGTCAAATGTGTTCTTTGAGGAAACACACTTTAAGCTGTAGATAAGAAATTTTTGCAAATAACCCCCACTGTTTTAATACTGTGCGAGTAGCCAAAAGAAAGTGCATTTTAGAAGTCTTAAAACTGACTGATTGTATCTTCTGAATAATGTTGTTTTGGCCTAAAATCTTTCTGATAACAAAGAAAAGGTCTGATGGGACTGCTGACTAACCAAATGTATTTTTTTTAAGCATTTGTGTTTTGCTTAAGGACTTGTGTCACTTTGGTATGACCTTTGCTGACTGGACTCAGTGCAAGTTTTACATTCAGTTTTTACTTTCTGGCAGAGATTTTCTTTTTTCTTGATAGAATTTTAAATGAAACTTTTATTGGCTCGCCAATCTTGAAAAACATGACTTCCTTGACCTTTTTTCGGGATTTTAAAATGAGGCTGAATAGATTCCAAGCTCTTTATTTTGTTAAGCCACAAATGTGATATCAGTAATAAATTATGAAAATACAGCATGAAGATACATAGATATTTGCAGCAATGCTATACATTTTCCTGTTATAGTTCATAACCACTGTGACTATGCTTTGATACAAACACGTATAGTAAATTCACCCTGCACCTACGATTTTACTTCTATTTTCTATAAGTATCTACAGGCATATATGTTTAAATCTAAAACAATTTAAGATCTAGTGACCATCAGAGGCGTAACTAGAAACTACAGGGTCCCGGTGCAAATATTTCCCTGGCTCCCACCCCGCCCCTCCATTTGTATAATATGACATATATAAATACATACACAGACACACGTGCTAATACACAGACACACAGAATGACACACATTCAGATACACAGACAAACATATAGGCAGATACACATATATGACACAAACATGCTCTTGGGGTCACCCGATGACAATTAATTACCTAGGGCACAGTCAGCGCTGGGGCGCTTTAATTAAGAGCGCAACCGGGCCCTAGGTAATTCATTGTCATCGGGTGGCCCCAAGGGCATAGGCCACCCGATGGGCCCCTTCTATGCGGCCCCAGTGGTTGTTCCGTGCGGCCAGTGCCGCACCAAAATGCCGACGGGCATCCCGGTTACAGGGGTCAGCAGGGCAGCCAGGCCTCCTGGAGTGACGGGCTCAGTCGCAGCTGCGACCCCTGCAACTGTGGTAGTTCCGCCATTGGTGACCATAGCTATATACTTTGATAATCCACAGCATTAAAACCACCTACCTGATATCCCCCTCGTAATGCCAAAAAAGCTCTGATGCCTTGAGGTTTGTACTCCACAACACATCTGAACGTTTCCTGTGATATCTGGTACTAAGACATAATCAGCAGATCATATAAAGGGACACTCCAGACCCCTAAAGTACTCAAAAAAATAAAATAAAAGCTTTATTGGTTAAGAGTGTGTCTTTTTTTTCATTTTACAAAAAGTGCAGATTTCAATAGAAACTGGCACTTTGCTAAATTAACCTGTTTATACCCCTGGCTTTCAAGCATACAACAAGTCCTGTTTAGAGTTCAGCGGACACCTGGATTTTCGGGTCCATGGCAACCCGAACTTTTGGCCACAAAAATGCCTCTAAAAAACTCCTGGAAAGGGCTAGAGAGCTGCAAAAGGAAGTAAAATGGGGGTAAGAGTAGGACAAGTGCCCTGCAAACAAATGTGGATAGGGAAATCACTTAAAATAACATAAAAAATAAAAATACAGCTGAGCCATAAAATAGCACTAGATGGAATCTTTGATTTTAGCTTTGGAAGAACATAAATCAAAATCTAAAGCATGGCTGGAGAAAAGGCCTTCACAAGCCTCTGCTAATGTGTACCTAGTTTATACTAAGTGACCCATAGGTTGACGAGGCGGTGACCGTGGCAGTGGAGGAGGAGGATAAGGTAGCCAACACTGTTTTTTTATGTTTTTTTTTTTTTGTAATTGTGGTAGCCCACAAAATATTGGGACATACAAATAAAGAAACATTTGCAGCCTTCGGTGCATTTCTTGCAGTCCTGATGCACAGAGAAATGCTCAACTCCTGATGCATGGAGAAAAGGCCTTCACAAGCCTCTGCTAATGTGTACCTAGTTTATACTAAGTGACCCATAGGTTGAGGAGGTAGTGACTGTGGCGGTGTAGGTGGAAGCAGCAGTGGAGGAGGAGGAGGGGGTAGCCAACACTGTATTTTATGTTTTGTTTTGTTTTTTAATTGTGGTAGCCTACAAAATATTGGGACATACAAATAAAGAAACATTTGCGGCCTGCGGTGCATTTCTTGCAGTCCTAATGCATGGAGAAATGCTCAACTCCTGATGCATGGAGAAAAGGCCTTCGCAAGCATCTGCTAATGTGTACATAGTTTATACTAAGTGACCCATAGGTTGAGGAGGCGGTGACCGTGGCGGTGTAGGTGGAAGCAGCGGTGGAGGAGGAGGTAGCCAACACTGTATTTTATGTGGGTTTTTTTATTTATTTTTATTGTGGTAGCCCACAAAATATTGGGACATATAAAAAAAGACAACTCTGTTCTGCAGAGTAGCCGTTGACATTATAGTTGCGCAGGAACTTTGTTGACTCTAGAGAACCTCGGGCAAATCGCACATACCCGTGGCAGCGACTTTGCATGCGGATGTCATCCATATCAACTTTCGATGCCAGTTTCTGCACCTACCATGGTGACCATCAGGATTCCATTCCGTACAGGAACCCTGAGAAACAGTTACCACATGCAAGGAAGGCAGCAGGCGCGCAAATGACCCACTCCCGACGCGGGAAGGTATTGATGACAAATAACAATACAGGACTCTTTAGAGGTCTTGTAATTGTAGAGTCCACTTGAAATCCTTTAACTCTGATCAATTGGAGGGAAGTCTGGTGCAGAGCCACTGACCCGTGCGTGCTGCAGCTGAAACTCCACTATCACCTGCTGCTGCTCACAAAGTCTCATGAGGCGGTGAGCGGGAATGCCGAAGTTACTCTGTAGCACAGACAGGCGAGCAGCAGCAGGGTGACAACGCCAAAAGCGCGCACAGCCGCTACAGTCACATCCTGACAGTGTCTGGGTCCTGGTCACCGGACTGCCCACCTCACTGTGAAACTACGAATGCGTCGTTAAATCTGGTACGAACCCGAACTGCAAAGTCTATTATGGATCCTTTGATCGCTATATGTATTACTTGGATAACTGGTAATTCTCGAGCTAATACATGCCAACGAGCGCTAGGGGATGGCCACTGCGCTTTTGCACCTTGCTTCCTCCTATGCTGTGCTGGTGCCACTGTGCCACAGCGCCTCTTCCTCCAAACTGCACACACGTCACTCGCATGACCTTCATTCCATGTGGGGTCTAGGACCTCATCATCCTCCACATCATCTTCCATCCACTCCTCAACCCTGCCCTCCTTGCCGGTATGCACACTGCAGAAAGCCACAGCATTTGGCACCTGTGTTCTTCCAGCATGTAAAGTATGCAAAGGACATATGGAAATTGTTTTAGAATTTCCTCCAGGCAACAGTTTTCCCTACAAACTGGCCTCTCCGTTTGACTTGTGAGGGTATTGGCCCAGAATTACAATATTGTTGAAGTACCTCTTAGCTATTGATCACTGGTTTAAATATAGCAGCTTGTTATCTGGTAGTTTCTAGTGTAGAAAATATCAATCTGTTTTCTATCACTTAGATCTGTGTAACAAGTGTTGTAGGTGTGAAACAATATTACAAGTGATCGATGCGCAGAAAGCACACTATTAGACGCTTCAATTTGACTCTCAGATATGAACACCCCAAATATACTATTTAGCGCCCAAAAAAAAAATTTGACTTTTTAAAACTCCAATGTAAGCAGCAGATTAGCAGCAAAACAATTATAATGTAAGCAGTAAGCACACTATTAGACTCTTCGATTTGACTCTCAGATATGAAGAGCAGGCCCCAAAATTTACTATTTAGCAGATTAACAGCAAAACAATTAGAATGTTTACAAGTGCGCAGAAAGCACACTATTAGACGTTTCGATTTGACTCTCAGATATGAAGAACAGGCCCCAAAATTTACTATTTAGCAGATTAACAGCAAAACAATTAGAATGTTTACAAGTGCGCAGAAAGCACACTATTAGACGCTTCAATTTGACTCTCAGATATGAACAGGCCCCAAAATGTACTATTTAGCAGATTAGCAGCAAATAATTACAATGTTTACAAATGCACAGAAAGCACACTATTAGACACTTCGATTTGACTCTCAGATATGAAGAACAGGCCCCAAAATTTACTATTTAGCAGATTAGCAGCAAAACAATTAGAATGTTTATAAGTGCGCAGAAAGCACACTATTAGACGCTTCGATTTGACTCTCAAATATGAACAGGCCCAAAAATTTACTATTTAGCAGATTAGCAGCAAAACAAATAGAATGTTTACAAGTGCGCAGAAAGCACACTATTAGACACTTCGATTTGACTCTCAGATATGAAGAACAGACCCCAAAATGTACTATTTAGCAGATTAGCAGCAAAACAATTAGAATGTTTACAAGTGCGCAGAAAGCACACTATTAGACGCTTCAATTTGACTCTCAGATATGAAGAACAGGCCCCAAAATGTACTATTTAGCAGATTAGCAGCAAAACAATTAGAATGTTTACAAGTGCGCAGAAATCACACTATTAGACGCTTCGATTTGACTCTCAGATATGAAGAGCAGGCCACAAAATGTACTATTTAGCAGATTAGCACACATCATCTTCCACCCACTCCTCAACCCTGCCCTCCTTGCCGGTATGCACACTGCAAAAACCCACAGCAGTTGGCACCTGTGTTTTTACAGTATGTAAAGTCTGCAAAAGACATATGGAAATTGTTTTAGAATTTCCTGCAGGCAACAGTTTTCCCTATAAACTGACCTCTCAGTTTGACTTGTGAGGGTATTGCCCCAGAATTACAATATTGTTGAAGTATCTCTTAGTTGTTGATCACTGTTTTAAATATAGCAGCTTGTTATCTGGTAGTTTCTAGTGTAGAAAATATCAATCTGTTTTCTATCACTTAGATCTTTGTAACAAGTGTTGTAGGTGTGAAACAATATTACAAGTGACCGATGTAGTAAATTTGAATCAAAGTTACGTTTCGATTTGACTCTCAGATATGAAGAACAGGCCCCAAAATTTACTGTTTAGCAGATTAGCAGCAAAACAATTAGAATGTTTACAAGTGCGCAGAAAGCACACTATTAGACGCTTCAATTTGACTCTCAGATATGAACAGGCCCCAAAATGTACTATTTAGCAGATTAGCAGCAAATAATTACAATGTTTACAAATGCACAGAAAGCACACTATTAGACACTTCGATTTGACTCTCAGATATGAAGAACAGGCCCCAAAATTTACTATTTAGCAGATTAGCAGCAAAAGGACAGGCCCCAAAATGTACTACTTAGCAGATTAGCAGCAAAACAATTAGAATGTTTACAAGTGCGCAGAAAGCACACTATAAGACACTTCGATTTGACTCTCAGATATGAAGAACAGGCCCCAAAATGTACTATTTAGCAGATTAGCAGCAAAACAATTAGAATGTTTACAAGTGCACAGAAAGCACACTATTAGACGCTTCAATTTGACTCTCAGATATGAACAGGCCCCAAAATGTACTATTTAGCATATTAGCAGCAAATAATTACAATGTTTACAAATGCACAGAAAGCACACTATTAGACACTTCGATTTGACTCTCAGATATGAAGAACAGGCCCCAAAATTTACTATTTAGCAGATTAGCAGCAAAAGGACAGGCCCCAAAATGTACTACTTAGCAGATTAGCAGCAAAACAATTAGAATGTTTACAAGTGCGCAGAAAGCACACTATAAGACACTTTGATTTGACTCTCAGATATGAAGAACAGGCCCCAAAATGTACTATTTAGCAGATTAGCAGCAAAACAATTAGAATGTTTACAAGTGCACAGAAATCACACTATTAGACGCTTCGATTTGACTCTCAGATATGAAGAGCAGGCCACAAAATGTACTATTTAGCAGATTAGCACACATCATCTTCCACCCACTCCTCAACCCTGCCCTCCTTGCCGGTATGCACACTGCAAAAAGCCACAGCAGTTGGCACCTGTGTTTTTACAGTATGTAAAGTCTGCAAAAGACATATGGAAATTGTTTTATAATTTCCTCCAGGCAACAGTTTTCCCTATAAACTGACCTCTCAGTTTGACTTGAAGTATCTCTTAGTTGTTGATCACTGTTTTAAATATAGCAGCTTGTTATCTGGTAGTTTCTAGTGTAGAAAATATCAATCTGTTTTCTATCACTTAGATCTGTGTAACAAGTGTTGTAGGTGTGAAACAATATTACAAGTGACCGAAGTAGTAAATTTGAATCAAAGTTACGCTTCAATTTGACTCTCAGATATGAAGTGAACACCCCAAATATACTACTTAGAGACAAAAAATTTTTACTTTTTAAAACTCCAATGTAAGCAGCAGATTAGCAGCAAAACAATTAGAATGTTTACAAGTGCGCAGAAAGCACACTATTAGACGCTTCGATTTGACTCTCAGATATGAAGAACAGGCCCCAAAATGTACTATTTAGCAGTTTAGCAGCAAAACAATTAGAATGTTTACCACTGCGCTGTAACCGTAGTATTAGATGCTTCTATTTGACTCTAAGATATGAAGTTATTTATTAAAAAAAAAAAAAAAAAATTCATTTGATTGTAATTGGGGTCCCCGGATTGGTGCCCTTGCCAAGCTCCTCAGTCTGATAATTATAGAATTTTATTATATGTTTTTTTCCCTCTTATTATGTGGTTTCTTCTCTTTGTTATTCTAATTGCTAATTTTAAAAGTGATTTAATGCTAATTCCAAATGTGATTTATTTAATGTCTGTTTTTATGTTGGAGTTTAAATAATACCTTTTTATTTTAATAGTTGTCCGTATATGAAATGTTTTTTAAATGTCTTTTTGATATATTTTGAATAAAGCTGTTGAATGCACTGTTTTAAATATAATGTGAAAGTATTAAGGACACTATTCTATTACACTCTAGTATGTGCCTCAATCAAGTGAGCACGATTGCTCATTGCTGTCGGTCAGATCAGGTGGTCTGGTTCCGACAGATGTTCTTAGGCATAGATTATTAAAGTTATTCGCGTTCCAGGTTTGATGTGCGCGCATGCACGGTGACGTGCATTGTCACGTCTGCCGTAATGCGCATGCACGAACAGAAAAAGCAGCGCGAGTTTAAGGATTTAAAAAGCCGGAAATACATGAGGACTTACAGCTCTTGAGAAAGTCCTTGGGACGAAACGCGTTGAGCGGAGAGACTTGCTAGTGTCCCCAGAGATTCTACATTTATTCATCCGTCCTTGCCTGGTTCATCCTCTTATACACATTTGGAAGGAGAAGGTTTTACCATCAGAAGGCATCGACATCGGATCTGTATTATAAGGGACTTAACCCACGAGGGGTTGACAAGCTCGTTTGCACAAATTGATATGTCACTTTGTGCCATCATCTTTGTGAGTGTACATATTGTTATTTTATCATTCTACTGTGCCATTAAATGCTTTTTTCCATTTTATATTTTTTAGATGTCTTCCATTGCATATGTATGGTAACTATATACATGTTTTGTGACTGTGGTGCCCCCATTTGGTATATGTTTTGGGAACTATACCCTTTTTGTATTTGTGTATCTTTTGGGATTGGGAGTGATCCCTTATTTGGAGTGGCTAGCCTGCACGTTTTAAGCACTTTATCCCCTAT